AACCCCCCCCCCCCCCCCCCCCCCCCAAACAATCGCACTGGGATGTCAATACGCCATTTACTAATATCAATTCAATATATATACAAACCGAGGGGAACTCTTTTTCCAGGCCGGATACTGTAGTTTCTTCATCGACGTCTCAAGTATACCCGCACTTGACTTCCACCAACTCCTGCTGATCAAATCCAACTCAGAGGTCCTTCACTCAGCATCTCCCCATTCGTAATTCCTTTTACTTTCTATTGATTAGCCACCCCTCATTCTGAAGAATCGCATTATCCACTACATCATTTGATTTTCCTTCTTACCCCTAAAGTCTTGTTGATTTCGTGGTCTTATTATTAAGCTCCCACAAAGAGCAAAGGATTAAAACTCCTTAACACAACACGCCGATTTGGGCTCTCGAAGAATCCCAACGTACGAAGAGCTAGCTTAACAGATTCCTTTGAAAAATGCCATGCTAAAGCCTCAGAGGCCAACTTGGAACTATACAGAGTTTTCCGGGTTATAAATGCGCTCACGGTTTCATTTCTCGCACTCTTGTGTACTTGCAAAACAATCACACCTCGGGCCCCAATGAAACCCCAAATCTGGTCTCTAACAGAGAAAGCAAATCAGCTCATGCTCACATAGAATAACAATTAGTGCTAATTCCCAAACTTATCTAGGAAAGATGAATAACCTTACTTAAACTCCCCCCCCCTCCCAGTGAGGAACTCGGTTTCTGACACTAACCTTTTTGACACGCAGACTCGTCAGAATATAGCCAATATTCCTGTTCGATTTTAATATGCAGGACATGTAATTGCCAAGCATGTATTGATCAATACCCTAAAAGACAGTCTGTGGATTACGTGCCTACTTAGCCATACTGTAACTGTCAAAGAACGTAAAGCGTGAGATAGTAAGTCACCTAACCACGCATCATTTCCACTGTTTCTCATAGCTATGTTGTCCTCGCCCAGTGCTAACACCCCTTCCCTTCTACTTACTTCTTCCATTACCCTTCTCATTCACTCCCAATTGTCCAATAAATCCGTGGTCCCACTTTACAGGAATGGCTATTTCTACCACATTAGCCCTAAGAAGGGGACATCATGGCCAACCGGAAGTATTGCTAGCTTTAACCATCAAATCATAATTTACCTGAAAGAAACTCCAGCCTTTTTTTCCTAAAGCAACACGTCCGAAAAAAGGGTTAAATAAACGTAAAACATAATACCCTCCAAAAAATATACCGACAAGAGTCATAAAGCCTATATTCTCTAAGTAAAATAAAGTGATTCCAGTCCGTAATACATACACAAATTAAATACATATTTACAGTGATCCGTATATTCATTCTATTCATCTCCAAGCTTCCGTAGTAAACTCGACGCTAAAAAGATATAAAAAAATAGTTAAAATCTTGATACAACAGATAAAGAAAATCTCCGACGATAGTTATATATGGTTGTCTCATACAAACAACACCAGTGCGACCACGTTTTAACCAGAATTATGAAATTGAGATAGGAATTCAGACCTCAATTTACAAGACGAAGTAAAAACATGATAATAGTCCATTTGTTCATACCAAGGTTGCGAAATGAGCAGAAAAATATAACGGCAACTATGCCCCAGGTTGAATCTCGAATTGATAAAATCTTCATACCGTGACAGAAACTTACCCCCCCCCCCCCCCCCCCCCATCTATGAAATGCCAGTTACGACTATGTGAAACAGAACTCCAAAAGACGGCTATTTCTGAAACGACGCAACAAGAAACATAAAATTAATCCCCCTTTGCTAAATTAGAACAGTATGGAAGTGGCAAATTAGTTACTGGGATATAAAATTTAAGATAACCCCAACTAGTGGCATGAGGCGCTAATCATATGGCGATATAATTACAACTTTCTATATTTAAACGACGAGCATTGTTGTGGGAAATATTCTGTAATACTACAGTTATGATATAATAATTGGCTCATGAATAAGATATGAGAAACATGTTTAAATAATTCACGCCATCTAAAATTAAAAATAGTAAGAACAATACCAGTAGTAGCAGAATTTTGAAGTCCACCAGGCATTTGAGATTGTGCTGGTTGAACAAAATTTGAGGAATGTACTCGAATGAGCGAGGATGATGCACTTTGTGTAGCTCCAATAACATGGATACCAGAACTGGACAAATCCCCCAAAGTCCCGGCCGGATTGGATGAGACTGAAGTAGGCCCGGAAATAAGAGTTGGTCGTGGAACAACACCAGAATTGGAAACGCGATAAAGGGAGAGATTACTCTGAGGGGAAGCAGTATTAGTGTTGGGAACAACTATTCTTGATGGCATATTTACTGGTAGAGGATGATTTAACACCTACGATTGCAGAAAGATGTTATAAATCTAAGATAAATTACCTTAGTGGCGGAATCTGTAGCAATTGCATAATTTGGAGCAGTAGTTGTGAACTTGTCAGGAGCTAACCTTAAATTAGAGCCTGACTTAATTGGAGGAAGTGGTTGGGAATTGATTTTCTCAGCATACTCAAGAAGTAGATCCGAATGAAGTGGAGCAAAGACCAGTTGGTCCATTTTATCTTCGATTGACAACGCGATATCATCATCAGTTACCTGGGAATGATTTGATGCTAGTGCAATCGACTTTGCATCACTAAGTACTTCACCAGTGTAGGCTAAATTTGAATTATATTTTGTTTCACATTACTTGAGATGATATCCATTACGTGAATGTATACACTATCATCCAAATCAGTAAGTCCGAAATCATCAAAAATTGATTTAATTGCAGACAACGCGGGCAAAATTTCATCAGTGGACATATCATTGCCTTCCATGGTCAAAGCAATAAAACGACCACAGGGGACTTAAAAAAGCGAAAAAAGGACCAATCACTTAAAACAGACTTAATCCAGCTTGGAGTTATTTATGCTTGATAAATATAAAAGAATAATACATATTTAAACAAGTAATTAAATTAAATGGAAAATTTCAATACGTAATTTCAATATATATCTTGGGAAAATATGTTTACTAATTTTATCAGCATTTCACAATTTTTTACAATTCTAAGAATAATATATATTGTTATATTATTATAAATACATTTATTATTTGTGCATATGGTTCAATCAAATTTTTAGAAACATCTCATCCCCTGTTTTCAAAACGAAGCTCATACTAGCCTAGGAAACAAAACACCTATAATTAATTCTGTGTATTTTATGACTTTTTATATTTGTATATATTCATTTTGTATTTAACGTGGAAGCGTTTATGGTTAGAACTGTTTTAAAGAGAGCTTGAAGTTATTCAAAGTATCTGGCATGTCGGATTTAAATACAAGTGGTGTGCGAATATACATATAGCTAATTAAAGCAACAACCTGTATTTTAACGCTAAGAAACCACGATTTGAGTATTCAATTGATTATATCAATATAACTTTGAAAATTGACGTTTAGTTGAAACGTCGAATTAAATTCACAACAGTATTTACTAAATTTCTTCAATCAATTTGAATTGTACTTTCGAAATTGTTACAATAGTATTAAACGCCATTATCATAGCAATACTGCATTCTGGCACTGGTCAGGATGGAATAATTCTGCCATTAGTGGACGAACACCAGTTAAAAGAGATTTGGTAGAACCTTTTGTGATTTGTACATTTTAAACACTATGTGATTGATTTCACTGATATTAAATACTTGACTTTAATAAATTGAAACAATCAAAATAGAGTAAATCTAATAATGAATCATAGATAGACTATGGAATAATTTTGCAATCAAATATCATATTTTCCATCACATATACCTTTCAAGTGCCAGTAATGGTTCAAAATAAATTGACGAAAGCTTTTGTAACACATAATGTGCAAATGTGTGCGCTAAAATAAAATTTTGAAAATTTTTGGTTCTAGGAAGCAGAATTTCAATTAAATGAATTTGCTTCTAAACTATCGAATGAAAAGATCAATTTAGTCAGTAATACCAGCCATTGAGGTGAAAACGATTCTATAAGAATTGAATATATTAAGCAAAAATTACTATAATCAATGAGAAGCAAGAAGAATCCGGGTTACCCATCTAGTTAACAGTGAACAACATAAACATAAAATTTAATAAATTTTGACTCTTCGATGTTTTGGAGCTAATCCCAGCATTAAAAATGCATCCGTTACTTTCATTCACTGAATTTTCATTTCATCAATATAGCTTGCGTCCTCAACAATATTATGTCATCTTTGAATTATAGTTGTTCATTTTGACTAGAATATTATGGAATAAGAGAAGTATGAAATCCGTAAAATCATGTGAAACTGGAGTCAAATATATTGTTTCTTATGAGCTTATTTAAAAGCTATGGATATAAAGCATAAATAAGGTTTATCAAAGGAAATTAATTGCATTTCAAATTTCGAAGTTTCTTGGAAGCCATGTTTAAAAACAGAATTATAAATATTGAATGCAGCGGAAAATCAACTCAAATTCACCATAAATTTAATATTGCTCTTTTCCTTTTTATTGAAGTAATTACGAACTTCTATGTAGGTTTGACTTAACCAAATTTCTGCGCGTAGCTTCATACCAGCACATTGTATTGGTTTAGGTCGTCTGGTGTTCAGTGTTTAGAGGCTCTTAGTTTATTTTTTCATCTTCTCCTCAAAATGTCTGCTTCGGATGTAAAAACTCCTTTGGTTTGTTAATTTTTTACTTCTAACCCTTCTGAAATATAGGAGGAACAGGAATCCGAATTAAAAGCCAAATACCCTGGTCTCTCTCAAAAGTGTGCAGCTTCGATGGTTCTTCAGAAACGGTTAAATCGTGGTGTAAGTATTTTTTACCATTTTACTGAGATTTAAACTTAGCTTTCAATATGTAAGGTAAATATGTTTGAATGTTTTGCTAACTGATACAGTTATTGTCTCCTTTTTCTTCTCTTTGCTCTATTATTGCTGGCTTTGTCTGATCTTATGTTTGGTCAACTAAGATTATTATATTCAATTACATTTTATACTGCATTATGTTTAATACATTTTTAAATTTATGCCGAGGTTAAAAGTTGTTCTTTGTTCAAAATTTATTTTTCAACTTTTTTTCGAGGTTATTGGTTTTTAGTTATTGGCAACGTTTTTTATTCTACCTCATTATTTTTCTGATGGTATTTATAATCTGAATTTTTGTTGCTTATTTCCATTTTGTAGAATAAGAACAGGATAATTGTATAGAGCTGCAGAGGTTATGATGAGTTGGAAGAAGTTAATTGAAAGTAATAGAGATTAGGAGACGTCTCTAATTGCACTGGAATGTTAGGCACTTGATATAGGAGGGTGACTAGTGGATCTGAGTTTGTTTGGAACTTGAGAAGCTATTTTTTGCTAATAGGGGTCGTATCGCTTGAGTTAATGAGTGTCTAAGATAGGCGAAGTAGTTCACTGTGGGAATCTAGTGTGCGTTAGTATTACTAAAAAGTTAAAATATTTGACCTAATCGTAGTGTAGATTTGATACACATTTTTTAAAAAGAATTGTGGAGGCCTTTGTGAGTATATAACCTTAATCTATCCTGCTTTTTGTTTAATAAATAATATCATTTTGTGATTTTGCAAAATGCTATATTAAAATACAATGGTCATGAAGTGCTTGTTTCTTGTTCCGCTTTTAATCATTAACAAAGCAATTCAATACTTCGCTCATAGATTCAGCTTTTCGCTTAAAACACCATCATATCTTTTGCTTAATGAGAGATACTTTTTTCCTGTTTTGGCGTTTTCTTTAAAAGAAACCTTAAAGGTTCTCTGAATCGTTGAATGTTGTGTCTTTATTAACCTACAAACTAGATACAATCCTCAGCACTCAATGCTAGCTATTTAAATTTACCTAAAATTATGCACGCCAGACTGCTTTAAGAAAGATGTAAATTTTTTGAATGATTGAGGATAAAATTTTAATTTAGACATATAACTATACGCTTATAAGATAATTTCTTGGTTACATTTGACTCAAACTCCATAGATTAAGTTGCAAGATTTCCTCTAACTCATCGGTGGTACAATTGTTTATGTAGTTTGGAAAAAATTGGACTTTGATTGACATCTTGTTTCCTGAATATATAAGTATTGGTGTGGTTACATTCCTAGGCGTGAGCGTGTCAGTGTATGGTAGTCCCTATGAATCCTGTTCAGATGCTCCGAAAAGTTTTATCCCTTTTATCATCTGATGTCCATACACTGATCATATTATACTAGTTGAGCTATTTGTGTCATTCGATATGGAGATGGGGAAACTCGGACCGGATGTTCATGTTGAGACGTTGGGGTGTCACATGCCACAGGCAACTGAAGAACTTTTTTCCCTTCTTGATATTTTTGGAGAAACAAATACATCAAAACTGATTTCTAAAACATACACTGTATACATCTATTATGTCCTGAGGCACTGATTAAGAAACTATCGCTTGCGAGGCAAATAATATATTTACAACAGAGCGCGTACCTTACTCGAGACGGGAAGCGTAAGTGGTGAATGGAGTCTGATGGTTCGCCAAATGGTTCTAACTCAAGAATGGAAGTGCGAATCTGTTCGAAAAGTCTCGGAAGAGGAGTAAAGCGTACGAAGTAGGCAAAGGTGAAAGAATTTTAGTGCAGAATGGCCTTATGACCACATTTAACGAATTCTCATTGGAAAGGAAGGAGGGGAGGGGGGGGGGTTAAAAAGAACATCTTTGAGTAGAAAATTCACATATTCGATTGACTTATGTCGACGTTTATACTGTTACTTATACACCTAAAGCTTAATTTTATACACTTGAAAGTTTCGGCTTCACTAAGAAACGAATCACATTTAGTAAGTCCAGACAGCCAGATGGAGTCGAAAATCGAATTAATTTATTCGCATATATTTTTAAAATTCTGTGGTTTAATGGATGACTACACGTTTACGAAAATTGCTTTGGAATTTTATTTCATTAAAGTACTTTAGTTAATCGCCTTTATGTCCACATGACACAAATCCCTATCTGCCATATCCGATGATCTTATCAATTCTCCTTTTCTTCCATAACTATTCCATTCTATGAAAAAGTACATCTGCACTCATATCCTCACGCGCGTCCTTGTCTAAGTGACCCATGTAAGCTGTCTTTGTATTTCCACACATACACACACACGCACAAGATGGTCACTTGTCTTCTCGCACACTTCCTTTTCATTTCTCTTCCTCTACTCTCTCGAGTTCACATCGTAATTTAATTCAGTACATCTTGATCCACATCACTGTTTTGCGCTTTGTGGTATTGCTGTTAGGTGCTAGTCCTACCTTGTATGCGCTGGTTCTGGTTCATTAGTGCCTGCATGCGCATCGTGTTTAGCTTCTTCCTACGATTAAAGTTTGTGGAGTTGTTATTTCTGGGATTTTATTTCGAGGAATAATCGTATCTTATTGCAATTGCAAGAATCTTGTTAAAATTACGCAAGACACCGAGGTTTTAATTTTTCAAATTTTGAACCCTTTTGCACTCTTGTAAATCGCGGCATTTGTTGTTTGCCCTCAATTGTGACCGAATCTTGACATTTCAACCTTTTGTCTCTCTCGAATGACTGAAAAAGCTTATTGGCAAAGAAGAGATAAAAAATTCTACTGTGTAAAGTCTTTGTTTTTAATACCCTCATGTCCCAACACTTTATCACTGTCATGTAGATTGAAAGGCTTAGTTTTAATGTCTGTTAATGAGGTGTCAGTTTTTTTGTATTTCTATTGTGCTGCAATTTTATACTATATGAATCTAATAATATTATTGCGAATATGTGGGGCTGGCTGCCATAAAACGAGGTGATTATGAATAAAAGATGATTTAATTAAAATCTAATGCAGATAACATTCGCATATATCTCCATATATATTCAATAGAAATCGATCCAGCGTCAGTTACGAGTTAGATAAGTACTAATTGTAAATCAATAAACCTAAAAAGGCAGTGCTGATGAACCGTGAATTAATTGTTTTAAGTAATTTACACTATCAAAATGGCTGTTTTATTTTTGACTATTTATCCAATCATGTAATCTTGTCACCTGTGAAGTTATTATGACGCAGTTAGTGAGTAATAACCGGGAGTTGTATTGCTTGATTACGATTAAAAATTATTGTAATTACCAGTGGAACTGTAAGCACTTTGCAAGTTTTAATCATTGGTTAGAATCTTAACACACGAAGTAGCAAAGTAGTTCATTAAGAAATTAAGTACGTGTATGAGCTGGCAAATGCGTGTTCATGGGTGGCTAAATGGTACCACTTTAATGGAGGAGTGGAGTTTAAGCTAAACAAAAAAGGTATTAATAGTGTTTTTTTCATTTGAACAAAACTCATGCACGCAATCTTCCTCACATTGAAATTTAAAATGTCGGTTTACTACGCCTGCATCTGGATATTTAAATCCCCACTGCTGAGCCAATTATCTCTTCAGATATTTCTTAATAGTAAGATCATTTCTTGAGTTTTAAATCCTCTCCTTTTTTCCTTGACTCAGGGATTTGAGTTGAGTTGGAACTTTGTGAAAGGGCAACTCATATTTCCATTAAGGCATTTATCTGCAGATCGAAACTCATTGGTTAACACACATTGATAAGAATATCAAAATGCATTGTTTATTGAAAAAAAAATGACGGGCTTTTCCGACAATCTTTCAAGACTTAAAAATGGCCACAAATGCCAAAATTCGATAATAACATGCAAATTCCTTAATAGTTGCCTTTAGACCAAAATTCTTCAAGGCAAGGACTCCGGAATTGAGCACATTTTAGTCGCTAAAAGTACTCCGTTTAATTTCTATTCGGCAGAAAGCATCCTGGAAGTTTTTTTAAGGATGAAATCTTGTCACCTTCTCATGAAAAATTTTTAGCTTTTATTTGAGGCAAATCCATGAGTATCAGATGACTTTGCTACTAGAATAGTTTAATGATAAAGTGATGTTGGAATTTTGTTTGCGTTTGACTCATATTCCTTTGGGAACGTTTACTAATTACGTTAATTATTTTTTATGCCCCTTTTCGGTGATCTACTTTGCAGGTTATTAGTGGGGATCAATGCTGTTTATCTTCATTTCTGATCCAAAACTGTAATAGTTAAAGAATTGGCAACTGATCTGCATTAATAAGTCTTGCTCGAATAGGACTTGTTAAAGTTTTTTTTGGAATTTATAACAATATTTATCTCTCGCTTTCCGTTGTGAATATCTGCTCTCTAATTCCAGCTACATGATATCTAGACCGTGCCAAAATACATAGTTTATCTCTCTGCACTTGAAAAATAAAAACTCAATGTAGGCATGCGAGCATTGCCTTTAACATCGAACTAAGTCACTCGCAGTATTGAACTACTAGTCAATAAGGATAACTCCTAACCGGTTTTCGTGTGGTCTAAAATGAAATCGATCCACAATTGGGGGGGGGGGGGGGGGGGGGGATGGGGTAACCTTTGATCATTAATATTACTTATTCATTCCATTGTCACAATTGACAGGAGATTTTGAAAACTTATTCGTGGCTTCTTTTTGCTTCAAGCTTCGTAAAATCAATTTCCCACTTCTAGTTTCAAAATATTCTCCGAAGCCAAAGCATTTGCCCACTCTCTTAACCCTAACGCAGCTACGGCACTTAGAAATATGGAGAGTCTAGTTCAACGAAGCCTACTCCTGATCATTTGATCTAAACTAAACCAGCACATAAAAGTCGTGGGTTTAGCCTCTGCAGTACTCCAAGATGTCCCTACTTTTGTTACATCTTTTGTCCTCTGTTATCTTTACTGGTGATGCTAAATTTTGGAAGTTTTAACTGTGGGGGATGTAGCTGAAATCAGTGAGCAAGGGGTTCATGAAACTCAATGGGTTGGGAAGAGGTCAATTAATATGATGAGATCAACCTCGTGGCTTCAAGGTGTCCTACTTTTTTTCGATTCTTCTCCCCTTGATTGCAGCAAATACTTGTTTGCCTTGTTCAATGCCAATTTCCTCTTTTTAGCCCCCTCTTTTGGTTGTTTTGATTCATTTTCTGCAAAAACAAGGTTCATGTCTAGTACTGTCTTTTTAAACAATGTCCTTAGTGTTTTAATTGCTTAGAACCATCGGCTTATATTGCGATAACAAACCCTCAGTTTTTCTCGTCTTGACTTGTATTTAGTTCAAGGTAAATTATGTTAAAAGAGTTTTGAATTACATCGGGGGCAGTTAATTCGGCCAATTTTACTCATATCCACATTGTTATAGAGGTGATCATTTGATGCAAAAATAACAGGGTTCAGGAACCCTGTTATTCAACACAACGGTTAAGTACTTCTATCTGAGTTTTTTGTATTGTTTTGGAGTAAAACACAAAATATTTACAGCTTCTAATCATGAGGATACTTCTAAACATGTAGAAGAGAGAAGGGTATTTCAGTTTTCAAAGCAAGAATTAGTAGCAGAAGAGGGCATCATAGGAACCGCACTTCATGTGGGCTTCAGCATCACCGGGTCAGGTTTTCATTTGTTATTTAAATTCGAGGTTCAATCCTCTTTTTTTATCATCTTCATATTGAAAATCTGGATGGTTAGATTTCATGTGATTTCGTAATAGTTTATTTTCTCAATTCTTGTAACATCGCTCTACTGAATGTATCATATTTGGATTTATATAAATTGATCCACCGGTGCTTTCTGATCTCGCTTTCATTTGAATGGAAGTTGATGACACCATAATTCTACTTTCTGCTCGAGATTTCTCCGAGTCTCATTTTTAGTTATTCGGTTTATTTTCAAATCCGATTTGAGAAGATTGCACTTTTCTACTATCATCGCTGAATTAGTGGTATATCTTGTCATTTCTCATCAGTTCACTCTGTCTGTCAATTTTGGTCCAAAGGCGCTCAATTTTCAAGATGGGAAACTTTTCTTATAACGGAAACTGTTGTTGACGTGTTAACCCTTTAACATTTGAATTATTTGTGGAAAAATCTACCCAACTGCACTCACCCGTGTCTCGCGGCAGTTTAATCTTGACGTGGGGAGTTTCGGTGGGGTATCAGGCGAAGGCTATGGACGTTTTGAACATGTTTCAAAACACAATAGCACTTTCTGTTGCGTGTCTAGTATTAATTGAGCATATTTTGAAAGCAGGCCATATAGTCCTGAGGGCGTTAAACGATTACTCATTGATTCATTTTACTAGATTTAATTGGACAATAGCTATGACGTAAATAGAAGGGAGGTTTTGTTGGTAAGTTTGCACTGAATAAACTACTATGTGAACTCGAGGGAGGAGAAGGAAGTGTGCGAGAAGACAAGTGACTATCTTGTGTGTGTGTGTATGTGTGGAAATACAAAGGCAGCTTACATGGGTCACTTGGACAAGGACGCGCGTGAGGATGAGTGGAGATGTACTATTTCATAAAATGGAATAGTTGTGGAAGAAAAGGAGAATTGATAGGATCATCGGATATGGCAGATAGGGATTTGTGTCCTGTGGACATAAAGGTGATTAATCAACATTTTTTCACGAAGAATGTGCCTGAAGTTTGGACAGAGCACACGCTCTTAGTCTGGGTACGTATTTCTACCACTTCAGCTGGATACTCTTATGAAGGTGGCTAAAATAGTTCGCCTTCATCGTAGTTACTAAACCTTAAAATACATGAACAAAATATACTATGCGGTAGGTAAGGAACAGGAAGATATCAATAAGCAGCTTATTAAGCGTATTTTGGTTTGCCCACTATATATTCCTACACTAGTTTATTTGCTATTTACGATCCTGTCTTGCCTGATTAGCTTTGACCTGTTTCAAACTTTATGGTCTAACACTCGTGATTAGTGCTGTTTCTTGCTATCGCGATCTAATTCAGTGGGGTCTCCATATATTTCATTCAGTTGTGTCCCTCCCATTTTCACGTCTAATTCCCCCTCTCTCTCTAGTCCCACTTGGTAATGGATCTCAAGAATCAGAACCTGTGCTCCCCGATAACCATATCACACTCCTTTTGTGAATGGTTTTAATCAAATTCTCCTTTAGTTAAGCCATTTTTCATCCTTCTCAGTTGTAAGTCTTTTACCAAAGGGTTACTGTATAATAGGATGCAATTTCTTCTCTTAAGATGGCTAGCATTGGATTTTAGGAGTAAGATTATTTTTTTCCCTCAAATTTTTTGGTCGCTTAGACTCGGATTTGTTTGGTTTTACAGACATCATTTCGTAGCTTTTATTAGCAAACCTTTCTACAACTTCAACGATAGCAAACGCCACAATTATTCAATTTTGGAATATATACCATTTCCTCCCGCTCAACCGAATTACAACTGCATTGTGTAATATTTATTACGCTCTTTAAAATGTACATCCAGTGTAACCATTTTTCAATCGTCTTCAAGGTCAACCTTCAATGAGAATCTCATATATCTCAATCCGTGAAGGGCCATCACAGCCACAAAATTATTGGCTTTTGTTTTTACATGGCACTTTGTATTCCTCACAGCAAATGCTATGGGAGTTCCATGCTGCTATGTAAAGCTATAACTTTTCCTTTGAGAAAATATGATTTTTTGTCACGAATTAATTATTGTCTTTGATCAGTTTAATTAAATGATTAATCTCAAGTCTGCTTTATAGCACGTGGTTGAATTTACAATCCATGAAATTTGTCGTGAAATGTGATCAAATTACCATCTGGTTGTTATTATTTATCGTCCTTTCATGTGTTTCCTCCATTGTATTTTCCTCTAAAAATCGTACAGATAAGGTCCATTAACCTTCAAGGCTGAATCGGTTATTCGATGACATTAAATTGTGGTCTTTAAAAAAGAAAAAAATGTACACCAATCATCACTGTTCTTGTATATTGAATTTTCATTTTAATGGTGTGCACTTTTACAAGACAGATCGTCTTTTTTTAAATCTTAGTGGTTGATAGATATATAAGCGAAATTAGTGGAATTAAAGAAACATTTTCTGACTCTTTGAATTTTTTGCTTCGTGTAGATAAGTATAACAACTTTCGTTAGTTTAAAGGGGGGGGGGAATGATTAAGTCTGTCAACCGGCAAGTTGTGGTAATGCCCCCATATGTAGGGAAAAACGGACATGTTTTAATTCGAAGGTACCTCCAACCTGAGGTGATAAACCGATGTTTAATGCATAACACTTCTAATTCGTGATAATTTTTTTCATGCACTTATTGCGAAAGGCCGAGATTATATCACGTTCTTTGAGTATTTTTCATTCTCTCTGATTAAGCACGTATTTCATCCACTTTCGTACATTTATTTTGTTTTGCTTGTGCAAAGGCTAATCTTTCTCTTTTTTCATCTTTACAATTCACTTTCAGTTAATTGGGCTATCATTTACTAATTGCATTACTTACCGCATACTTCTACGCATCCTTTACCTCATGATAATTATGGTAATTTAAATATATATAGAACTTGAGTTGTTATGAGAATAGCCAAAACTTCATTAGATTTTCCGTTTTACTACATTTTAAGTATATTCTTGCTACTATTCAAATCTTAGTAGCGTTAATTTTTCAAATTGAACATGAGGGCTAAAACCAGGTTACCTTAGTAGCTAGCCCGTTTATTCACAAATGACTCCGATATGTTACTATTATTTTAGCACAAATTTTTCGATTCGGGGGATTACAATATGGCAAGAGCTAAAACTGCCCTTCAAAAATCGACAACAGAAGAGGAGGCAATTTTAAAAGAGGGGTTGCTCCAAGAATCCACAGGAGTTACCATAGCAACACCAGAAAGTGTCCCTGCTGTTCGCCGGAAATCAATGGTCGAGGGTCCTGGTTCCCATAGGAACAGTCTCACCACTACCACAATTACCCCAGGCGCAGAACCCCAGCATCTTCCCGAAAATCAATGATTGGGATAATTAATTATCAGGTCTTTTATTTTGAGAAAGCAGACTAATTTGCTTCCCTTGTCTCTTTTTTCGTGATATACATATTTCCTCTTTTATCCCTTGCACGCGCTTACTATTGTTTGTCTTCTCTTACTCCTTACCACTATTTTTCGGCATTTATTTACTACGACATACTCAGAGATTGTCTTCCCCCCTCCCCAAAGTCATTTTGTTGATATCTCACTTTCAATGCGCACAATCTTGTTGACTCCGATTGCATCATTTCAGGGCAAAATACATCCCTGCTCCTTCTTCCTCCTCCCCCATTTTTTCTCGCCATGTTCATATCTGTTATTTAAATCTTCAGCCTAGTTTGCAGAAGGGGTCAAGAGGGATTTTGACACATTGCATTTCTCTCGGAAAGGGGAAGGAGTATTTTGTGTGCGCGTTTATTCAACAGCTTCTATCAGAAGTGGGGAAGCGTCAAGTTAGTTTGTGCTAATGAAAATGTCAGCAGCAAATATGATGGTTCTTGCCTCTCAGTTAGTCAGTTTGGTGCCTATCTAACTTATTTTGAGACAAAAAGCGAAATTGGCTTAACACATAGCTAATTCTTCTCTGAATTATCCAACTGTGACAAAAAATTGCATTGTAGCATTAAAGTTTACCAGGCCAAATTTGCGTTTAGTCACTAGTGTTTGGCTTGCACTGTCAAATTCTAATCCTATAATTGCGTTATAATGCAGAGATAAATGTGAGTTTTGCCTCGCGAAACAATTAATGTACATCTATGCGTTTGCCTTAATGAGATTCGTTCTGCATTAAAATCGATTGATAATTATACACGATTTTGTCTATTGCGTTAATGCAAGTTTGGTTGGGGTAGTGCCTTGTATCGGTAACATTTATTTATTTCAAATGGCAGGCGTTTTGATAGTTATCATTAGCCCTTTAGTTGACTTCAGGCTTCATAGAGGGGAGGAACAGAAGAGTGTTTCAAAGATGTAGAAGAGGCAGGCACAAAGGTAGAGAAAAAGGTAAAATGAATACTGTGAAAGTGGCCGAATATGACATACAGTGGGGTCATGGTAGTTTGAAGTCAGAAGTCAACTGTCGGTTTATAGACTTTTTTGCCGTGTGAGTATACGTTGCCCAGGGTGCATCACGTGGAGGTAAGTCTATCGCACACCCCATATAAGCAAATATCATGTACACTAAGGGAAGTTTTAACTGAACTGCTTGTGGGGCTGTTCTAATTGCATTAACTTGACTTCCCTAATCGCAAAATGGTGCTGTAAGATAGTTTGCACAAAAATTAATCATTGAAACAATAAATTTCCCTTCAATACGAAATATTCAAGGGCCATCAGAATGCTAATTTTATTAGAGCAATAATCGGTATATAATTCAATTTACTTAATTAACCATCTCGAATGTAATTCACCAAAATTGGGGGCGTTGATAGAGGCAAAATCGCATAACCTTATCCATTGAAACCAGTGTTGAACACTTTCTATTTGAGAAGATTCTTTTATAATATTTGAAGCACATTAATTTATTTATCATTCAATAGTTCTATATATGTCTGAAACAGGGGTGTGGGATAGACTTACCTCCACGTGATGTACCCTGGGCAACATATTTATACGTCAAAAAAGTCTATTAACTGGCAGTTGGCTTCTGACTTCAAACTACCATCACCTAACTCTCTGCCATATTCGTCTAGTTTCACAGTACTCACCTCACCTTTGTTCTACCTTTGTGTTTGCCTCTTACATCTTTGAAAAACTCTTCTGTTCCTTCCCCTAAGGAAGGACTAATGATAACCATCAAGACGCCTGGCATTTGATATAAATAAATAATGTGTGTGAAGCATTGAGCGCTTTCAAGTAGNATTAAAATCGATTGATAATTATACACGATTTTGTCTATTGCGTTAATGCAAGTTTGGTTGGGGTAGTGCCTTGTATCGGTAACATTTATTTATTTCAAATGGCAGGCGTTTTGATAGTTATCATTAGCCCTTTAGTTGACTTCAGGCTTCATAGAGGGGAGGAACAGAAGAGTGTTTCAAAGATGTAGAAGAGGCAGGCACAAAGGTAGAGAAAAAGGTAAAATGAATACTGTGAAAGTGGCCGAATATGACATACAGTGGGGTCATGGTAGTTTGAAGTCAGAAGTCAACTGTCGGTTTATAGACTTTTTTGCCGTGTGAGTATACGTTGCCCAGGGTGCATCACGTGGAGGTAAGTCTATCGCACACCCCGTATCGGTAACATTAATAACAAAATGAGGAGTTAGAAATTTTCAAACTAAAAAACAGACAGAATAGGTGTGCGTAAGTGGAGTATGCAGGCGATGAGGGGGTGTTTCCGGAACTGATTAATTAGAAATATCCGTGTTGAAATCTGCTTTCAGCGTGCTTCTAACATTTGCTCATTTAATTTTATCAGCAATTATAGAACTAGAGGTTCGAATTTCACATAGCTTTTAGGAACAATAACTGAAAGTGCATTAATCATCACTGAGATTTAGCATAGATGTAATAAGATAAATAATGTGTCAAATTTTTCTCCATTTAATCAGCTGAAGTTGAGGTTAATTATTGATAACCAAGGCGTTACTGGACTCAGATACTGGGACAAAAAAACGTTCAACTTCAATCCAAAACTCAATACAGCTCCACTGAACAGCGGTTATCTGGTAAGACCAAAATTCTGGATGCTCTAAATATGCCCCCCCCCCAAAAAAGTCTACTTGAAATATTTATTTATTTCAAATGGCAGGCATTTTGATAGTTATCATTAGCCCTTTAGTTGACTTCGGGCTTCACAGAAGGGAGGAGGAACGGCGCATCCCTACAACCTGATAGCTGAGGCTGAGATTAGGTGGGAAGTTCAACTCACAAGGCAGAAGAGGTGAAACTGAGTTACACGCCTCAATTATGGGGTCAAAAAACGATATGCAAATCATGTACAAAGATGTCTTATGCAACTGATAATCAATAATTTCGAAAACCATAAGGTATCGAAAGGATAAAATTCTCAGTCAACTTAATTTCATTTAAATCATTCAAATTGTGGGCCATTATTTCCTTAATAGAATATTCCTAAGTTCTCATCTGTAGTCATTCCACGCAAATATCATTTGTGCAGGCACTTGCAAAATGTTCTCTATTTAGATCGTGCAAACTGCAAATCATTCATTAATTTGGTCTAATTATTTGTTATTCATTAAGGCTTATTATCCGTATTTCCTCGAAGCTCCACTTAAACTTTTATTAGTCGATTTTGTCTAAGTCTTTTCATTTTGTTCACGATAGACTTACCTCCACGTGATGAAGCCTGGGCAACGTATACTCATACGAAAAAAAGTCTATTAACCGGCAGTTGACTTCTCACTTCAAACTACCATCACCCNCTGAAAGTGCATTAATCATCACTGAGATTTAGCATAGATGTAATAAGATAAATAATGTGTCAAATTTTTCTCCATTTAATCAGCTGAAGTTGAGGTTAATTATTGATAACCAAGGCGTTACTGGACTCAGATACTGGGACAAAAAAACGTTCAACTTCAATCCAAAACTCAATACAGCTCCACTGAACAGCGGTTATCTGGTAAGACCAAAATTCTGGATGCTCTAAATATGCCCCCCCCCCAAAAAAGTCTACTTGAAATATTTATTTATTTCAAATGGCAGGCATTTTGATAGTTATCATTAGCCCTTTAGTTGACTTCGGGCTTCACAGAAGGGAGGAACATTAAAGTGAGAAAAATTCGACAGGGGGAAAGAAGAGCGATTCACAGATGTAACAGACAGACAAACAGACAGAAAGGCAGAGAAAAGGCTAGATGAGTACTGTGGAAGGGGTCGAATGTGACATACAGTGGGGTTATGGAAGTTTGAAGTCAGAAGTCAACTACCAGTTAATAGACTTTTTTGCCGTATGAGTATACGTTGCCCAGGGTGCACCACGTGGAGGTAAGTCTATCGCACACCCCTGCTTGAAATCTAATAATCAAAAAAAGACTCTTGGGGGGTTTTCCTAAATGATGTTCCAAGTCCCTTAGAAAAAAAGCAAATACGCCCCCATCAATCTCCGTCTTTTCCCAAAAATACCTAAAATTTAAAAAAAACCAATGTCTGTATCCTTTGTGTATTGATACTATGGAACTCTAACAATCTCATTCAATGAAAATAACGTCTCCTTAAAATAATGACGAAGATTTGAAGTAACTGGATATACCAAATCATCAAGACTCACCTGAGTTGTTGAACAAGTTTGGAAAACTGTGTCGTGAAGGCTAAGGCTACACTAAACTAAGCGAGTAAGTAGGTGGAGCCATTTCCAAAAATTGTGAGTTTTAAATTATCGTCATAATACCCTGACCGCATTTTTGCGTGCAAACGTAGGTGATAGCTTTATAATCTGGGCAAAAAGGTGGTTTCAACTTTGCAGTTATTAGTCATGACAAGACGCCCACTTCGCACCCTAATCCAATCTGGGTGTTTTCGCTTCCCCATGTATGTGGATAGGGTGATATACCAAAGGTGGGCCATTGGCTTTGCTATCTTAGCATTCACATTCCACCCCACCCCTCTAACTTATGTTGTTTTTTAGCTCTTCCTTGTCAAAATACAACTGGCTGAAATAGGCCATCCAACCACCATCAATAGTGCATGCGCATTTATTCGCACGTATGCACTTAAATTATACTGGGACCGTGGGGGGGGGGGGGGGGGGGGCGAGAGAGGGGCTGAACAACTAAGAGATAAATCACGTGTGCTTGATTGACATTCAATTCGCCTCGTTATCACCATTACGCGCGCGCTTGTGCGTCCGTGTTTTCACACGCGTACGGTGTATACGCCAACACACGCACACACACACAGTTTGCATTTACACTTTCCTCGCTTTTACTAATTTTTCTTGCTTATTAGTGCGGTCGTGTGCCTAAGTCAACTAGCACAACGCACCTTAACACTTCTCGACCTATAATGCTATTGGTTAACGTTGGGCATGCGCCCAACCACTCACTGTATATAAAATCATCTCGTTATAGAAGTACTCTCTCTTAAAAAGACAAAAACAACACCTACTACTGTGTGTGCTTAGGGCGGAGAAAGAAAAACTACAACGCATATTATCGCGCCTCCCTTCTCACTTCTGGTGGACTTCCTCTATTTGCGGAAGTTATATTTTTAGCAGCACTGTGCAATAGCATGCAACAAGGCAACTAACTTCTTTAAACCTACCTCCCTGTTGCAAATAATTTCTCCTCAAACTCGTTATCTCATTGGTAAGTACTTTTATCTTCCAAGGTCATTACAAGCATGCAAATAGAAGAGCTTTCGCACGTCCACTCCTAAGTAAGTATGAGCTACAATTGGAAACATAAGGAATAATTTGTAGAAAAAGAAGATTAAAAGTCAGTACTTTAAAACTGCGCTTTGCGATCACCATCTCATTTGATAGAATAGATAGAGTATTTCTGAATGATTTGATGACCCATTAGTCAGAGTAGCATAATAATCAAGTTTGGAATAGAAGTCGAAGTGTAACGCTTTCTAGTGCCTTTGTAATGGGAGCTTTCAAAATTCCGCCCTCGCTTCTATACCTAGCTCACAAGTTTACCTATTTTAACCCCTTCATCAGCTCTACAATCTGTAATATTCAGGAATTTTTGTGTATAAAGTTCGCGGTTATATTTTTGTGTGTGAAAGAATTAGTTAATTATGATCAGAAGAGACATTGTCACCAGAAATGATAATTTTTTACCTTCCTTGCCTAAAAGCTATCATCCGTTAAATAGATAAGATCATTTTTTTGTGACAACAATTCAGTGTCAATTTGAAGCCATTTATTTAAGCACCTACTGGGCCATTGCGCCATGTACCGAAGTATACAATTTTTTTCCAGATGCTCATTCACTTGGAATGAATCCAATTAAATGCTATAAGTGAATGTCACTCTGGGTCAAAGCATTCGGTAACGCAAAGGTCACCCCTTGGTAATGAGGTAAAGTGACTTCAAAATATATGTAGGCGACAGGAATATCCTTCCAGGTCTTCCTCACCTGAATGGCTTTCATTTAATCACTGGAGGGGAGTATAGATTTTTCTTCATTCACAATGATGTACAGGTGGGTTACAAACCCATACGTTTTAGTTAAGAAGATAACATGCCCCAAATCCTTTCTCTAAACCGCTGGCCTGTTTTTCTTAATTACAATAATTTGATAAATACCTAGTCGAATAATTCCATTCTTATCACAAATTCCCTTAAGCCAATAAACATCTGACTAAAAAATTCAAAATTTGATTCCATGTGAATATTGACACCAACCCCACCCTCCCCCCACCCCCC